CTTCGAAGCACTCCCACAGCCGGGTAGCTAGGTACAGAGTAGGAGGGTGAGTACCTTCGCCCGCGTCACTGAGGACACGGCCGTTCGGAGCATCAGGGCTGCAGCTTGCGAGACAAGGTGTTTGCAAGCACTCTCGTCCAGGAAAGGATTCATGTGCTGGAGGTCCTTGATGCTCTTCGTGCTACAGATCGTTGCGCACAGGAACTGAAACCATGGTGTTGCTTCTTGGCCGGAGTAGCGCAGCAGCCAAAATCTCAGTTGACGTTCACTGTGTTTTTGCTTCAAGCAGCTTGCGTTTTTCAACAGCTCTTGCGTCAACTTGCGCACATGGTCCACGTCCTTGCTTCGAAGTGCACATAGTTCTTTGTCGAGCTGCTCGATATTCTCCAAAGAAGGCAGCATGGAGCCCTGGGTGAAGAGCTTGAGCTGTGGCTGGCTTTGCTGCCTTGCAAACTCCAGCATGTCAGCGGCAATGCGCTTCATTGCAGCTTTCGCCAGCTCCGACTTCATTTTGGGGTGTTCCTCGAGCTGTACTGGAAGAGACCCATCTATCTTTGGACCAGCCTCCGACACGATGAAAGACTCTTTGAGGGAACCCATCGGTGCACCAGCAAACTGGCTCACATTCTCGGCATCTGAATCTCTCAGCACGATCGCATCCTGCATGGAGTCGCTCACCGTGGGTGGCTGCCATACGATCAAGCCCTCTGCCACAGGCCCAAAAATCAGCTCCGGGCGGACACCCCGCCCTGTTTCCCAGGATTTCCTGCGCTGCATGGGATGCAGGCTCACCTTCTCTGATGCTGCGCTCAAGCTCTGGAACGAGGCTGCGCTCCGTGGCCAGTTGAGATGCTGGTTTCTGAAGCATGCAACGAGCTCGCAGATTCTCGTGTAGAAAAGCGCCGCGTTCTTTGCAAAGAGCGTGGGCATGTGAGGCACTTGATCCTCGTTCTGGATCCTTGGGTTGGTGGAGTGTGTTCGCGCTTGCATGCACCACTGCTTTGAGCTTTGGACGCTAAGC